AAGCAACCGTCAAACGAGAGTTGTTTTCAATAATTTCAGTGATCGGTGCTGGCGCCATCTGTCGGACATATGGATAACCACTTGCATTCTCCAGTACTCTATGTAAAAATTTAAGGAATGCTCATAAACTGTACAAAGAAGATCTAGAGATAAAAAAACGAGAAGCGACAATCTAAAAAAAGCAATTAAACATTGCAGATAATAAAGAAGAAAATAAAAATGTATCAATGGATTGTATAAAAGCTGCTGAAAAGAAATTAAAACTAGCTCGCAAACGGAAATTAGAAAAGTTGTCTGCAAAAGTAGCAAAAAAGAGAAAGCTTTTTATCTAAAAATTTTTAATCAAGATCGAGTGATACAGACAAATTAGTTATTTTTTAAATTCCTCTATTAGTTCAACTCATTGCAAACTTTTATTCATAATCATGAACAGCACTAAAAACTTATACAGAAAAAATTACAGACGTCCACCTTCAGCACATCCCACACCAACACACGTGGTGAACGAAAAAACACATGGTCAACAACTCTTTAGTCAATGTTACAGTTACATATGAAAATTTAAAAACAATAACACAGCAAAACAAAAATTTTCTGAAAAATTCACACACACTTAATTTAAAAAAATTAAATGCACATTATTACAGTTATTAGCAATGACAAATAATTATTACACTTTTCTTTCATAATTTAAATTGATTTTTTTTACCAATGTCTGGGCTATCACCAGGCCACTGAAATGCTAAGTTCAAATCCAATGTATTGGACTGGTGCAGCCATCTACTGACAAGATAGTGAAATGCAAAGTGTTCTAACATTACTCCCTCACCAGTAACTAAGTTACGATACTTAAATTGCATTGGTAAGGTCAATAATCAAATAACGTGATCACTACATCTCATGATCAAAATGCACTCCATGTATAAAAGAATGAATTTCTAAGCTTGCATCTGGTTCTGAATTGTAAGGTTATAGTAAATTAAAATACAAATAATAATTAAGGTAGCTGGAACTTCAAGATATATCACTAATCTTTTTTGTTCCATGCTGGAAATCCACATAATTGTAGATACCACATTCAATATTCTATACATTCATTATACATTTCATTTATATATCTCAAAGTTAATATATACAACATACATACTCCATATCTGGGCTTAACTGAACAATTCAATGACATGCTTTCAGTGACATGAAAATAGTTAACACCAATAAAAATCTGATCAGTATTACTAAAATTTTCACATTTTCATAGCAGGTATTTTAAACACCAAATGCACTTTTCTTATTTTACTCACTCCTGACTGACTCAATGCAACACTGTCCTGAATATACACACCTTAGCAACTAATATTCTTTGAAAATTATTAGTTTTCTGAAAAACAGGTATTAGTACTGCATTAAGCTGCAGCAGCTGGATAGAAATTATATTTGCTCTAAAGCTCATATATGCCTAATACCAACATGATTAGAACACTACTTATTTACATACAGCTCAAATTCTTTAATTTTCAATACTGCAATCTAACATTAACAAATTAGTGAAAAAGACATACCTCATAATACATAGATATATGTGCACTACACTATATAGCACTGAAATATTCTAACTGAAACAATAATTGTATTTTATAAGATAGCTTCTAAGGAGGTAATGCAGATGTTATGCCTAAGCAAAAACACACTGTATTCCAAAACACAATAATACCAACCCTTACAGCTAATACATGCATATAGAATGTGAAGCAAAAATTTCTAGAACAGTAAAAACAATATGGAAAGTATATCTGAATATATTCATGAACAGTAATATATTGCTCAATATCTACACCACTACGACGACTCTGGTATATTACAGAAGATACATAAATTAGAAATTATAAAATCAGTATACATTATTGTGAAGGAGATAAATACGATATGACATTAGCCTTAATTGGGGAAGTAGATCATGAATAATAATATTTGCATTAACAAGAGATAAGAGTTGTGATTTAGTTTTAAGTTCGAAACCTAACAGGAAGTTTTATTTCTCTACCACAACGAGTGTTTGTTGGGAAATTACTATGATGCATTTCCTTTGAGGATCCACCATTGACATCATCGTCAAGAAGCTGATTCGGTAGTTCTGGCATGCTATCTGCATTCATAAGGTAAGCAGGTTTCAGCCTATGAATAGAGATGTTAACATCTTTTCCTTTAATATGCACAGAATAATACTTATCATGTCTTTCTGCTACAGGAAATGGGCCATCATATGCAGGCTCTAGTGGTTTTTTCACCCGATCAACTCGAACGAACACATGAGTACAGGTCCTTAAATCTCTATGTACAAAAACTTTTTGATAAGATTGACATGTATCTGCAGACTTCATTGGCTTTACTAGGGCCATCTGCTGCTGCAGATTGTACACAAATGTGTCAGGTTCAACGTGGACACTGGGTTTTTCAAAAAATTCACCAGGAAGCCTGATATTGGTACCATATACCATTTGAGCAACAGAATAGTTTGTACCATCTCTGATAGCAGCTCTTAAACCCAACAAAATAGTGGGTAGCATATCACTTCCATTTTACATTATTGTGAGCTTTTATTGCAGCCTTTAGTGTCCTGTGAAAAGCGCTCTATTTTCCCATTACATTGGGGATGATAGGGCGTTGTATGCAGAAGTTTAGCACCACAAATAGCAGCAAGATTTTTAAACATTTGGGAGGTAAACTGGCGACCTTGGTCAGTTACAATACACTGTGGCACTCCAAATCTGCTCACCCAATGGTCATAAAAAGCTTTACTCACCAGTTCTGCAGTGATCTCTTCTAATGGAACTACCTCCATCCAACAGGAAAATCTATCAATACATGTTAGACAGTAAATTTTACCATTAGATGGTGGCAAAGGCCCAATCAAATCAATATGGATGATGCTAAATCTGGCATCAGGTTCTTGATATGTGCCAAAGGTCGATTTGGTGTGTCTTGTTACTTTAACTTTCTGGCACTGCAGACAAGCTCTAGCCCAATCACTTGCTTGTTTCTTCATCCTGGGCCATACAAATCTGGCAGTTATCTGTTTTACAGTGGATCTGACACCAGGATGTGCAAAACTATGGATATGATCAAAAATTTTCTTGCGAAAACTTTGAGGTACATATGGGCGAATATTGCTAGCTGAAGTATCACACCATAGGACATTTTTAGATTGTAGTACATATTCCTTGAAAATTAATGAGGTGTTACTTGCAATTAATTCTTTCAACTCAGAGTCATTCTGTTGTGCCTTTGCAATTTCTTCATAATCAATTACAGATATCTCTTCAATTCTGGAGAGAGTATCTGCTACAATATTGTTCTTTCCACTAATGTGCTGTATATTTGTAGTAAACTGGGAGATGTACTGTAACTGACGCAGCTGCCTAGGTGAAGCTTTATCATTCTTTTGCTTGAATGCAAAAATCAGTGGTTTATGATCAGTGAAAATTTGAAAATCTCGTCCTTCCAGCATGTATTTAAATTGCTTCACAGAGAGATATATTCCAAGCAATTCACGATCATATGTACTGTATTTTTTCTTTGAGCCCCATTTAGCTTCTTTGAATAAAATGCAACTGGTTTCCAGTTACCATCTTCATACTGTTGCAAAACTGAACCAATTGCCCAATCTGAGGCATCAGTGCACAGAGATAATGGACATTCAGACTTTGGATAACTTAACAGGGCAGTATTAGCCAAGTCAGTTTTGCACTTCTCAAATTGCTTTATGCTTTCTTCAGTCCAAGGTACTTTACTTTTATCTTTTTTCTTTGCTCCCTTAAGCATTTCATGTAGCATGGCCTGGGTCTGCGCTGCATCTTTCAAGTACCTCCTATAAAAATTTACCATGCCTAAAAACGTTCTTAAGCCATGAAGAGTGGATGGCAGTTCAGTTCATAATCAAGAATAGCTTTAACTTTGTTTGGCAGAGGTTGCGAACCAGAAGGCGTAATGAGATACCCCAAAAATTCAATTTCTTTAACTCCAAATACGGACTTTGACACATTTAAGCATAGGCCATAGTTATCAAGCCTTTCGAAAATTAAGCTCAGATGTGTTTTATGCTCATCCTCAGATGACGAGGCGATTAAAACATCATCAAGATAAGGAAAACAGAAATCAAGCCCTCGAAACACCTCATGTACAAATCTTTGAAAGGTTGAGGGAGCCAAATTCAGTGTCTTAGCATCAAGCTGCCGAGCACGAGAGTAAACTGGCTGTCCTTTTGTAGCAATATAGTGCTGGACCTTATGTTTCACTTTGGTGTTCAATAAATTGGGCTTCGTAATACCAGGGTACTTTCGCAACAGCTCAGAGAATTTTACAGAATTGCTCACTGTGCTAATCGCAGTATTTTCAGTTACTGACATTACATAACTATGTACAAACATATTTGTCACACCATCAATTAATTTTCTCTGGCGAATGTCAAGCAGTAAGTGAAACTGATTCAGAAAATCGGCACCTAAAATGCCTCTGTTTACTTTTGCTACAACAAATGGCCATTGGAATGGGCGACGTAGTCCGAGGTCCACGGTCAACACCTTACTTCCAAACGTTGGGATTTCAGTTCCGTTAGCTGCGTATAGCTTGTATGAAGTGCAGGTACTTTTAGATTTCGTATCAGCTGGAATCAAGCTGATATCTGCTCCACTGTCAATAAGAAATTTGATTCCTGTTTTTCTGTCTTTGATAAAAAGGCGAAATTTGCGGCAATTAATGTTTCCAGTAGCAGCAGGGCTTGCCGCTGATTCTACTGCTAGTTGCAGTGTTCCGGCTGCTTCCAACTGCAGGGAGGTTTGCATTTATCAGGGTAGCATTTTTTTCCAAATTTGAAATGGAAAAAACAGTATTTTCCATCTGGGTCAAAACGCTTGCGGGATCTGCTGCGGCTCCTATTTCTTTGATGGCTTTGACTTCGTCGTCTGTCTCTTGTGTGTTGAACACTCAGAGTCGCAATTTGTTGCTCAAGTGAAGAAATTTTTTTTTAGCAACATATCATATGGGCCAGCTTCTTGGACCACACTCGCAAGTTCTATCCGGGGATTCATCTCAAGAATTTTATCGGCCATTGTGGCCAACTTATCAGTACCTTCATCACTAACAATTAAAATGTTTTTTACTTGGTCTGGCAGTTTCTCCATCCATAAGGTTCTCAGAATTTTTTCAGACACATCATCAGCATCTCCAAGGGCACGCATTTTTCGGAGTAGTTGGTTGGGCTTTAGGTCTCCCAATTCTAGTCCAGTTAGCAATCGCTTGATGCGTTTGTTTTCACTTTCTTTAAAAGTGCTCAGAAGTCTTTCTTTAGCGGCTGAATATTTGTTTGGCGTGTCGTCTCGAATGATGTCCCATATGTTTTCTATAAATTTGGGTTCAAGTTGTGCAACCAGGTAATTAAATCTTGTGTCTTCGGAAGTAATTCCACTGATTTTAAACTGTGCCTCTACGGTGAAAAACCACATTTCAGGTTTCTCTACCCAAAATGGCGGTATCTTAACACTCACTTTACTAGCTTCAAGTTTTGAAGTTGATGCAGATTCACTGTCCAATGGCATGTTTGCAATTTTAAGTCAAACTAAAACATTAGCATTCCTAATAAAACACGGGTCACCAGATATTAGTTCAACTCATTGCAAACTTTTATTCATAATCATGAACAGCACTAAAAACTTATACAGAAAAAATTACAGACGTCCACCTTCAGCACATCCCACACCAACACATGTGGTGAACGAAAAAACACATGGTCAACAACTCTTTAGTCAATGTTACAGTTACATATGAAAATTTAAAAACAATAACACAGCAAAACAAAAATTTTCTGAAAATTCACACACTTAATTTTAAAAAATTAAATGCACATTATTACAGTTATTAGCAATGACAAATAATTATTACACTTTTCTTTCATAATACCAATGTCTGGGCTATCACCAGGCCACTGAAATGCTAAGTTCAAATCCAATGTATTGGACTGGTGCAGCCATCTACTGACAAGATAGTGAAATGCAAAGTGTTCTAACACCTCCTTTAACTATATGTTATGTTATTTTGTAACTATATTATCTCATATGACTACTTTTTCTGGTGTTATATAAAGTACTGTTTATTGAACTAAAAGTGAAGATAACTGAAAGCTATAGTAACAGTTATATATATATTTTATCTCTAAAACTTGTCATTGCCTGGAAATGGGCAGTAATATATAACATAAATATGTATATTAGTGTGTTGTAATGTTGTGTACAGTATTCATGTATCAACTGTTAAATTAAGTTACATAAAGAGCATCTTAAAGAAGGTTAATTCATTACAATCTCTTGGTGATTTACTGATTTTTTTTTTTTACAAGTGAAAGATAAAATTAATAGCAAAATAGTAAGTTCAAGTATTATTTTAGTTTAATTATATGTATATGTTTAATACTTTTTATATTAAAAAGTTTTTTTTTTTTTTTTTTTTTTTTTTTTTTTTTTTTTTAAGTCGCGCGTGCGCATTTAGTTTTTTTGTAATTTTGTGTCCGCGCGTTGTTCAGTTCTTTTTGCCAACTTGCACTTCCATGCCTCAATTCATTGGCAATTCAGGCATGAATGTACCAGTATTTACAAACAAAGTCTTTGTGTAAAATTCAGAACCGAGCATACTTTTGACAATTATGAATAAATGTTAAAATCTGTATCTTCAAGTTTTTAAATAAGATTTATATAATATTGTAAATTAAGTAGCTCAGTTTATAGATTTTCTAGTTCATTATTTGCGTTTATTTTTGAAAATTATGTTAAAACTGGACTTAAATAATTAAAATCTTGGCAACAAATATGTAACTGAAATATCTGCATAAATATTTAACAAAAAGTTCAAAAGATCCATATATTCAACTAAGGCATATGCAATAAGGCAATTTGCTTATGAAATATTTTATTTAATATTTGTTAACTACTATTTATATGGAGGCAGTGGTATGATAAAGAGAGAATGTGGTATGACACATAATCCAGTCCTTGCAATAATTTTTTCTATAACCACCTAGTTTAGTGTCGTCATCTATTGACCAATAACTTAAATCTTGCACCTTTTAAATAATTTGGGATTGTGAGGGAAAATGATTGTTTTTATAGACCATAGAATATTAGTTAGGAACGTTATTTCTAGTCTGAAATATTCCGTCATATGCTAGAAAATCCGAAGAAGTGTTTTCGAGTATACTCGATTATGCACAAAAATTGTATATCTTTACCCAAACATTAAATGGTATGATAAGACTGATACAATTAAGCTAGTCGGAGTTATGTCGTGATAAAAGAAATTGCATAAATGATTAATGAATCAACTTGGGTTATGTCCTTAAGCTGTCAAGAGCAAGATGCTAGTCTGTGTGAACACTGCTATCAAGGAGAAACACCGAACTGAATTCCGGGGCAAAAAGGTAATGTTTCATCCACAGCCGACTGTATCATGGCCTTGAAGCGAAATCAGTTTCGGAAGGTCACGTGATCGAAATAGTCGATCTCTTTCTCTTTACCATAATCCCATTACCGAAAGATTATACAGTTGGCTGTGGTTTCATCAAGATAACGCAATAGCAAATGTGTCTGCATTCACCGGCTGGACTCTGTATGAATTCGAATGGGATCTTTTGCCCACAGCCACCATTTAGCTCTGACGTCGCTCTTTCGGACTTCTACTTTTATTCACAGCTGCAGCTACATCTTGCTGATGCTATCTTCCATTTTTAATAGGACTTCCGAAAGGAGATAGATCTGTTTTTGAACTCGCAACCGCTAAGTTTCTTTGCTGAAGGCTTTAAAAAACTACCGAAACTTTGGGAGAAAATCACAGATTTCGATGATGATTACCACCTGCACTAGAGGTACTGCTTTCAGTGTTTTTTCTGACTTTATTAAAAACGTTTTTTGGCGAAACCTTTTCTTTATAGCCAGATATTTTATTTCCATTTACTATCGATTAAAAATTCCTCAGATATATTCTTTCTTCGAGAAACTGTGGTGTTTGAGAACAGAATGCTGTTAAGTTTTCGAATATATTTATTTCCAAATATTCAATGAATAGAATCAAAATCTGAGGCAATATACGTAATTTACTGCTTTTAGCGATTATATTTTATTCTGTAGCAAGCTTCATTCAACTTTTCATCATTTGTGTTAGCTAACAATAGATAGTAGTTTACGTTAGAAGCTCTAGGTATTAGCAAAAAACATTTCGTAATTTATGTTTCTAATGGGAGTTTTGATTTTTACTTCCTTGTACGACGTAAAAAGGAAGTATTGTAAATCGCGAAACGTTATAGGCAACATATTTCAACGAAAATATCCATTTTGAGCGCTATTATCGAATGCAATTTAACGATGTTTTTGCGTGATATCTGTACGTAAGGACAGAATAAGACACGTTTCCTCCAAAAAAATTATAAAACTGCTTTAAAATTAATTCTGAAGAGAATTTTTCGTGGCGTCTGTACGAACGTATGTACGTACGTGCGTACTTACGTATCTGGCACAACTCAAAAACGAGTAGCCTCAGAATGTTGAAATTTTGTATATAGGACTGCTATAACATGTAGATGTGCACTTCGTATTTTGGTTGCAATCGGCCGCACCAAACGTATATAAATATATTTATATATATATTCACTCTGTTACCCGGCTCAGTGATCTCAGTTTCTTGACTCTTATATGTTTGTAAATAGTACATTTTTTGCTTTAAAAATGATTGAATTATGTTGTTTTTATCTTCCGTTTAAGGTTGTTATGCCTTTAGTAAATCTGCATGCAATATTTTTAGAATTATCAACAATTTTAAAGTTGTTTAAGTGCCGCTAAGCCTTTTTTTATGACGGCCATCGATTGTTTACGTTTGAAACAGCAGACTAGTGGATTTGTTGCATATCTAGAGAAACTTAGCTTTGCTACAACAAAGATAACGCCTTCATTTATTATTGCGAATTAAATCATGCTTAATCCTTTCTGGAATTTTTGCGAGGAAATAAGTGTTTAAGATTTACTTCGTAATTTTTAATATAGATATTTTGAGTTTGTATGTATTTTTGCCTTCTTGCGAAGTGAGAACTGAATTAATTGAATGAGAAATACTCAATCGTCTGTGAAAAACTGTTTTTTTTTTTTTTTTTTTTGTTTTTTTTTTTTTTGTTTTGTTTTGTTTTGTTTTGTTTGCTTAATTTCTTTTATACATCGTTCTAGCTTTATTATAGTATTTGAATAGAACATGTGGCAATGATTAGATAATTCTATTCTTTAAATGATATAAATTTTGTGCATTATGAATTATAATATGAACGAAATATGATACTGTTAAATGAATCTAGCGCTAGAGTGTCGCTATGGTAAACAAATACTAGAGTAAATTTTAAAGAATGCATTTATTCTATTGTGGTTTATGCGCTGTCGGGGAAGTAGATTTAATTCAATCCAATAAGTTTAAATGAAATGCAAGAAAAAATGCGTATAATTTAATATTCCGTACCAGGAAGTCATGTGGTGTACACATCAGATTTTTAAATAATGCAATAATATTACATACTTTCATTTGGTGCGGGCGGCGTTCCGTTTGAAAAGACTTTCATACGTAGTGCGCAAAGAAGATTTAGAATTCACATGTCCATCTTTAGTTTAAATTACGAAACAATAATCCGTCTACCTCTTGTTGAGGTCCTGCCTTAGTTCTCTTTCACTGATGAAAATCGATCATAAAAACTAATGTTTTTTTTTTTTTTTTTTTTTTTTTTTTTTTTTTTTTTTTTTTTTTTTTTTCAGAAATATTTCTATTATACTAAAACCTATGGTAATTGAACAACCAGCAAAAACATGTCAAACAAAGTCTTGTATTCAGTTTGTTTCAGTTTGTAATATCTATTATTGACTACCTCTTTGTTTAGTCACGTGCCCTACGAAGGCTACAGAAATCTCCTACTTGCTCACATTTTCGAGGGAAGGAAGAGATTTTAAATTCTAAAATATGTCTTTTAAAACGTATAACGTACTTTTATTGCACTTCTGAATTTTAATCATAATGCGAAAAGGATGTCATAAAACGTCAAGCAAGTGTTTCTCAGGAGAGAATCAACAAAGTGCAGATCAATTTTTCATATCGGAAGTAATCATCCCTATCTTGCTGGACTGCATAAATTAAGTAAAGCTGGTAAAGATAAAGGTATTGAAACTGAAAATTTGCAATGTAAACCTGTACATTTTTATATGAAATACTTCTCTGTCATAGGAATTTGTTATATATTAAGTCACAGGAATGACGAAAAATTTATATTATTCACAGAATATTACTAACAATCACCTGCATTTTTAATATGTTTAATTTGAAGAATTCACCGCCCTCGATAATTTGGTTTTATAAAGTAAAATAGTATTGAATATAAAAACACGTTTTAAAACAGAAAAAAAAGATTTTATTTATTCGGTAGACTGTTGTGTTTCGGTAGACGTCAATGGGAAACATGAGATTAATAGACGTGTACTTAATATTTTTATGAGATCAAAATTCATTTTTGATGAAGACTATAAGA